CCCCCGGCGCAGGGGCGAGGGGGAGCCACGGAGGCTGCAGGGGGGCAGGTAGGTTCAGCGCTGGCGGGGAGCCCCCCGGGCTGGGCTGGGGGTCCTGGCGTCAGGGCAGCCCCGTGCCCACACTATCTCCGGTCTCCGCTCAGGGCTGCGGGGCAAAAGCTGCCTCCGTGGCCTGGGGGCGGTGGGGGGCTGTGAGCATCTTCCCCTGCAAAGAGCAGCAGGAGGATGTGCGGGGTCCTCGCTCTGATGCCCTCGAGCCCTTTTCTCCCCAGGCTGCTCTACAACCTGCGGTACCTGGGCCAGACCGGCGTTGGGAAGGTGAGGCGATGGGGCAGAGACGTGCCTAGAGGCAAATTGTCTCTTCTGGGTTTCTTTTCACGTGCCTGTGGGTTGTTCCCTCCTTTCCGCTCCATTTCAGTACGGTGGCAAAGAGGTGCTGGACTGGGCCATCCCCACCATGCTGGAGAGGCACTCGGCCGCGCGGGTGAGCGACGGGGCTGAGGGCATCCCGGGAAGGGCTTGCTGAGAAAACTGCAGGCAAATACGGTCTCTGCCCGGGGTTATTTCTTCCTGCTGGCTCCAGGTTCATTTGGCCTGGCTGAGTCTTTGACACCCCCCACCCCTGTGGGGGGGGTTTCTGGTTAGAAACATCTCTGCAGCCAGGATAGGAAAGTGCATTAAGGGGTGGGGGAGAATACAACCACCTGCAGGAAAGCACTTGAAAAACTGTGGGGAGGCTGAGCCTGGTTCCAGGGGTGCGTTAGGGCTCAGGTCACTATTACTTGAGCCCTCAAGGTGGTTTGTGAAAAGATTTAAGTGCGAGAGCACTGGGTGGTGAGAAGAGGAGCAGCACAGAGAAAACTCCTTGAAAAAGCTGTGCTTGACTGCACTTCATCACCTCTGCTTTTGAATAATCTCTCTCTTGTAAGTGTCTTATTAAAAATAGAGCTCAGGCACTGTGATGATCGGGGCTTCTTCCCCCTCCATCCCCCATTCAGGAGGTTTTATTTGATGTGAAGGAAACAGAAGTCCTGGTACGGGAGAAGACGTCTCCCAAGGTAAGCGAGCGACACCCAAGGTCCGAGTGACTCCCGAGGCTGCCGATCTCGCGGAGCGCCCGGCTGGAGGCGTCGTGGGGCCAGTTTAAACCAGGAGCGGGGACAACAGGGTCTGACTGCAGCCCCCAACGCCGTCTCCCTCCTGTCCCCTGCGCAGCTCCTGTGCCGCTACCCCTACCCCACGATCTCCTGCGTGGGACGCTGCGTGGACAGCAGCAATTTATTCGCCTTCTGCGTGGCGTAAGTGCTGCCCGTGGGCCCTGGGAAGGGGAAGGTAGAGGGCTGCGGGTCTTCAAAAATAAACAAGCGACGTCCAGGCCAGCCGCGGGGTCTCTGGTGCAGTTGCAAGCCAGGGCTGAGCTTTCAGAGCCGCTCTCTCTGCCGGCTAATGTACGTGTTTCCATTTTTAGCGCTTCCCCGGAGAGCCCTGACGGGAGCACGTTCGACTGCCTGGTGTTTGCATCGAGTTCTGAGCAAGAATGCGAGGAAATCATCAGGCGAATCGGTAAGGGAATGGTTTATGTCTTCAGCTATCATCACAGCGAGATCATGGAATACCAAGAGTTGCTATACTGGTCCACCACATGCAAGATCTAACTTAATTTCTTTTTGTTGAGGTTACTGAGATGAATAGATACTTTGATACAGGTTTGGGTTGGGTTTTTTTGGGGGGGGTGTGTTTTTTGTGTTGTGTGGTGGGTTTTTTTGGTTTTGTTTTGTTTTGCTAGACAATGATTTTATTTTAAGAAACAGCTTCTAGGCATACCCAGACGGTTCATTGTTTCCACTAAGAACTTGGAGGAAACATTGTTTTCGAGGGATGTTATTTTAAAACATACTTTTCCCGCAGGAGCCCAGCCTGCTACCGCAGTTCAGCACCAAAGCAAGCATTCATAAAGCCCATCGCTTGCAATTCTTGTTTTTTTTTAACCTAAATGCAAGCTGCGTGTGGCTTCCCAAATTACGTGGCTCCTGGGCCACCGAGGACCCTCAGGTTTCTTGCGGGGACATCCCTGCCAGCTGTCCCCCCCAACAGGCTGTACCCCCCAGGACAGACCTGCCCGGGTGATCTACCTGAGATCACTTAGCGTCGGCTAAAGTTTGAGATGGCGCTTGACTCTGATCCAGGCCTTTAAAGCAATTAAGTTTACAATGTAGGCGCAAGGAAATCTTTTTTCCTACAGGTTTAGCAGCGAGGAAAAGACTTGTTTAAAAACCTGATCTTGCATCATTTTAGACCATGTTTTTGGCAGCCCCGTGGCAGATATGATAACGGCATTAACCGGGGGCTGCGTTTGTCCCACGCACGCTTGGAGCGGCGTAGGAAAGGGCGCTGAGGAAGTTGTGTAAGAGCGCCTGGTAAGGAGCGCCTCTTCCTCCAGCTGCAGGATTTAAGCACACGGAGTGGTTCGTCTGATAAGGGAGAGCCCTGGCTCCGGCCCCGAGCTCCGGTGGGCCCAGCCTTCGCCCGCGATGCAGCCGTCCGGCAGCGCCCCGAGCGATGCAGGCCCCGACTGCCGGGAGCAGGAGTCAGGATGGTTTTCAAACTGCTGTTCTGGCCCTCCTTGTGGAAGGAAGTGCTGTAAACGCGTCCGGTCTTCAAACAACCGCGCAGATGGCCAGCGTTGACTTCCCGCCCGCTCTCCCGTATGAACTACTGCTGTTGTTCTTCCTCCTGAAACGCCACTTCTGCCACGGCACTTTTAATTTCATTGAAATAAATCAAGATGAGCTAGCCAAACTACTTCCCCGTGCTACTCTTCCGTGCCAACTCCAGCCTTACTAGTGCAGCCTGTTCTTTAAGAGCTGAGGAGAGCCGGCCTCGCAATTCAATTTAGATGTTAATTACCTGTGCTTCAGATGTAGTCTGAGCAGCTTCCCTCTACCCCAACCTAACAAGGCATGGCTGCTCCCAGAGGCACTGCCGAGAAAACCAGACCCGTCTCAGCAGAGCGCCCGAAGCGCTGTTCCAAAGTGGAGGCTTGAGTATAATCCTGTTTCATCAAAAAAGCTTAGATGGGAAATGAGAATCTTATTGAGCGCCCATCCCAGTCTGCGTAGCAGCCCATATGCTCTCAGGTTGTATAATTAGCTTTTCCACTTGCATACCATCCCGCGCTGCTAGCGCTGGCTGCTGTTATTAACTGGGACTTAGTCATGCGGCCCCATCCCACAGAAACTCACAGGCCGCAGCCGCGCACACCCCCCCCCCCCCCCCACCCCCCAGGGAAGGAGCCGGCGCTTTGGCTTCAGGCAGACTGGTCGCACCAGAATAAACTTCCCCTGCATCTACTGGAGAGAGGAGAAAAAAAAAAGCTTAGTTCTAGAGTTGGGCCTGAACAGCAGACACCAGTAAGCAGTTAAGCTTTATTAAAAAAAAAAAAAAGCAAGCCCAAAGCCCCCCCCAAAGGCAGAAGGCTGCTGCCTAGCCTAGGCCTGTCCGTCAGGCTACTCCTCTTCTACCCCACAGCTGCAGGGCTCAGCTCTGCTCTCGCTGGCCAAGAGCCACGACTCAAGCTACAGAAAGCCTCCAAAAACCTCCTCCAAAAACCTCCGAGGGTGGCCAGGGGCAAGTTCTCCAGACAAAATTAAGTTGCCGCAGCAGCAGCCCAGGCTTACAGGCATCTACTGCTGACCTGCTGGAGCCGGGAGGAGGAAGCTTCTTCAAGCCCATACAAACCAAATGACAAAGACTCCTCAACATGTGAATGTAAAACATTTAATTTAAAAATGTTGACACTACAATATATAAAATAGCTATTATAAATGCACATAGTGTATTCTATAGCTGCCAGGTTTACGTTTTTAGGAAACTGTAAGTTACACTGTGGTTAAGACTTGTAGTTTCACCCTCTGAAAAAGTCCACATTTGATCACAGTGATGTATGGTCAGACTAACAGCCCCAATTGTTAAACACTTGGATCAAGTCATAACCAGTTTTATTGCAAAAGGACCCTGTACACATTTATATCAATTCTAGTACCTTACAAGTTTAGCTACCCAACAAGTCATTAACATACAGAAACATGCATGAGAAGCAAGAAAGATCACCCATCCCTTCTGCATATTAGCAACTTGTCACTCCTGAGCAACGAGGCTCACATCACTGAGGTTTATGTGAACAGTCACTTTTAGCATTCATCCTGAGTGAAAGATGGAATGACTTAAGTACAAATGCAACATATTATAAACAATTTCTTACAAAAAAGTCACAAATTAAAACCAAAGTATTTTACAGAATTTACTACAAAACACCGTAAAAACAGCCTTCACTTAAGCCCTCTCCCCCCGTATCCTGCGAGCCAACTGGATATCTTTGGGCATGATGGTGACTCTCTTGGCATGGATGGCGCACAGGTTTGTATCTTCAAACAGACCCACCAGATATGCTTCGCTGGCCTCCTGTTTCAAGAGCACAAGAAGAAATGTCGTTAGAAACCCTCAGCGAAGCACGCGCAGAGCCGCGAGCGCCGAGGCCCAGCAGGCCGCTAGCAATACCTGCAGCGCACCGATGGCCGCACTCTGGAACCTCAAGTCTGTTTTGAAGTCTTGGGCGATTTCCCTGACCAGCCGCTGGAAGGGCAGCTTGCGGATCAGCAGCTCCGTGGACTTCTGGTAGCGGCGGATCTCACGGAGGGCGACGGTGCCCGGCCTAGGTGGAGGAGGAAGGAGGGAGCGGGTGAGCCGGGGCAGGGGCCGCGCCAGCGCCTGGCCGTGCCGTGCCGGCGGCCTTACCTGTA